TTTAGAATTATCTGCATTATATTATTGACAGTTGCATTGTGTCACAGAATATCTTCTATAATGGTTGTTGGAAGCTCTTCAAGCATCCTATAACCAACCAGATGTCCACATCATTCCCAAGATTGAAGCTGTTTGCTGCTATTATTTCATTGGGTTAATTTTTCCCTGCCTCTCCCTTTTTCACTTCCTTCAGAAATTCCAAAAATTCAAGCATTTGTTCATAAATAATATCTTAACTGTCTTAAAGCTATCCTCATCCCTTTCACCCTCCCTTCCCTAACTCACCTTTTCTCCCCTTTTTTTTGTCTTAACATATTCTAGTTCAGATAGTGCTTCTTCCAGTGGATCTACTCACTTGAGACTTTCAAATGTATTTTTATTTATCTTTTCATTTCCTACATTTTTATTTGGTGCTTTTTTCAAGTTTATCATCTTCAGAACATTGGAATTGTGTTTTCTTGAATCTACTTAAGTGTCCTTACAAGCATTTTTTTTTTAAATTCTCTGTCAGCATAATCAATATCTTTTAAGTCTGTTGCTAAAGAGAAGTGTTTCTGTGGTGATGTCATGCCACCTTGTTTTTTCATCCTGTTGGTTACTTAATCATCCAGATGGTTACTTATCTTTTTTTTAAAAGTGGCATTCATTATCTGAAAAGTAAGCTTTTACTATGTGACATCCAGTGTAATCTGGTGAGCTATTTCAGCTTTAGTTCCAGGTGGACATTATATGATCTCCCTGTGTATTCGCTGTAAATGACGGCAGCAGTAGATCCTGGGAGTTCTGTACCCAGTCCCAGAAGGGTCACAGGGTTCAGTGGTAGTCAGCCACATCCAGAATAACTGCACCAGCCCACTGCCCAAGTAGGATCATATGGATCCTAACAGTGGCCTGTATAAGCCAGCTGTGGTCGCACAGGCCCGGGAATATCCCACAGGGTCAGGTAGAGTCACATTAGCTCAATGTGATAGTCCTGGTGTATGCAGGTCCCTAGAGCACATGCTACTGTGGATGCTATGAGTTTCTTCTCTGAAGGAAAGCTATCTTGCCTACTCCAGGAAACTTCTTTTATTTGTTTCCAAGTCTGTGACAACTGTGGCTCCCTACTTTAGCTAGGACTTCCAATGCCTAACACCTTTGAAAATGGGCCCTGATGAGGCTCTTGTATTTATCTGTCCCCTACAATGGGGTTTTCTGTAGCTGTAGAGCAACAGAGAGGGTGTGCTTATATTTGTTCCACTCTATACTGATACCCCAGGTCTGGAAATCCTACAGAGTTCTTGTGTTTCCCTTGCTAAACTCCCATGTTCTCAATCAATTACTCCTCAAAATGCAGTTATTTTGGTTCTCTGTGGAGAGTGAGGCGGGTACTGGGCATATCTATTCAATCAACTTCAGATCCTCTTTTACTCATATTTTCTAAAACTTTGGATCACACACACATATACTTAATTACTAATGCCTCAGTCGATGGATATATTTGTGTAGTCAGGTTTTCTACCCTTCATGGACTATTTCGAATTTTTAAATTTACTAATATAGAATTGTATATACAATTTTTAAAGAACACTTATTATTAATTTGTTCTCATTTCTAATCTTTCTCTGATATAAAGTAATCCATAGATTTTCTAGCTTTTTCTCAAAATGTTAGCTCTGTTATCTTTTTCTTTATTGAAATAATTGTTATTACTTATTTTTAAGCTATCTAAAGCTAGTGTTTTGGGTGTTTAATTCAAAGTTAGGTGAAAATAAAGTAAAGTACCTTTGACAAGCCTTATGTAGTCGCAAATCCCATGTTCAGCTTTGCTTTTTTTTAAAATCAACCATTTTTCTAATATGTAATTCACATGGCATGTTTTTCTAATTTTGACTTATTTCTGTGAAATTAACAAATTCCACATGTTTTACAATACAGATTTAGATGCGTAGTGATATTTCCCACCCAACCCTCCCTCCTGCCCATGTTTGTTTCCCAGCACCATTCCTCCTCCTCCTCCCTTATTCCTTTTTTTTAACAATTTATTTTTACAATTGCACACTTTCAGGTTTTTCAATGAGGAAAGAAAGGATGGCTATATATAGCAGTTGTTGAAGTGGATTTGTATCCAGGGTTCTTGATGAAGCATCACAGTTCCCAAAAGAGTGAGAATCTGATCATTACCATCTCAAAGTACTTGATAATCCAAATGTAGGAATAAATTCTGCTCTATTATACTATTAAATTATATTTTTATTCATTCATTTATCACACATCTGTTGAGTTTCTTGCACCAGAGCTTTTGAAAATTTAAAAAATGTATCCATGGAGAAATCTCCAAGCAGATTGTATGTAAACTGCATACACAGGCAGCATATCACAGACACATGAACTGTTATGGGACACATAGCTACGTGTTGTTTTGGGAATATATACATACCTCAAAACAGAGTTACTCAGGAAAGGTATCCATTTGTGTTCAGTAAATATTTTCATGCCTTTTACTTGCCAGATAATATATGTAGGAGCTTTTAGTATTGTAAGAAATGAATGATCTCCGTATAATACAGATTCAAGATACCTGTAGAGATATACAAGAGAAACTAATTTTGTCATGAGTTAAAAATAAATTACCTCTTGCAGAGGAGTTAACAGATGAACCAAGACTTAAAGGGTAAGCAGAGTTTTATAAAATGGACAAATTGTGGCACCCTTTGCAGAGAGAACAGCATACACAAAGGCACGGTAGCAGTAAAAGGCACAATGTATGAGATGGTCGGGGGGAGAAGTGATGCTTTAACATGACAAACATTCATAATGCTGTTACACTCTGTCAAATGCCATCCTAAATACTTTATGTGGAAATACGGGGTTACTGCAAGGATTAAATGAGCAAGATGCAGATCACTGCCCTTACTTCACTTTATAGGTGGAAAAATTGGGCAGAGACATTTTATGCTGCACCCAAAGTTAAACGCTAGTAAATGCAACGGGCAGAATCAAAACAGCCAGAGCTGAATCTATTGGAAGCCAGGAACCAGTCAGTAGCACCTCTCATGTCTCCCACATGGCGGCAGTACACGAGAACTTGGGTCATCACCTCTGCTTTCCAAAGCCATAAAAGGGACTTGGATGGAAAAGGGGAGCTTGTTCCCAGGGAGGGCAGTCAAGGACGGGCCAAAGCCTTGGGACCCTGCACCTGCGTGGGAGACCCAGAAAAAGCTCCTGGCTTCATATGAGCTCAACTCCAGCCATTGTGGCTACTTGGGGAGTGAATCAGTGGACAGAAGATCTTCCTCTTTCTCTCCTCTCTGTACATCTGGCTTTCCAATAAAAAAAATCAATTTAGGAAACAAGGGTGTAAATTCTGATTATATGTTGTCATTCAACGTGACATTTAAGAACATCTGTTGCCATAAAAATCAGGGGCTTAGATTTTTAATATCTAAGATAATTATGATCCTGGCCATAAAATTAAGATATTTCCCACGTTGTATAAAATTGCTTAAAATTCTAGATTCTTGTGTTTTAGCATTTTAATTACATTCTTATAAAGCAAAGCAGCATACTGTGGTTTACATCTACTTTACTAATATCCCAAAACTTGCATATACAGGAACTTGTGTGCATCATCTGAAAGTACTTTATTTCAGAAAATTCCGTATTTGTATGCAGTTCCTCTACTTTCTGTGATAATTTTATGAAGCAATGCTCTTTCCTTTGAAAGACATCTAATACAGTTGATTGGAACCTGTGCCAGTCCTTATTTAATCAATGAGCTCTTCGGAGAGAATGCTTATCAGTCAGAGGGTTCTTTTGACCAGATGAAATTTTAGTTGGAAATGCCACAGTCATGACTAAATGACTACCAGCTGAACTGAGCTAATCAAAAGTCCCTGATATCAAAATTTTATATGATAGCTGTGGAAAATATCTGCTCAGATGGCAATCTATTGAAAAAGGAGCTACAAGTATTGATTTTATCCCTTACTGCTTTAATCTTTCTGAAGTACTTTTAATTTCAGAATATCTAACTTTAATTGTTAAAAATGGGCATTAGACATTGCCTATTGTTAAAAATCATAAACCCATAAAGCAATTATCATTTTTATCTAAACATTGAGAAGAAAAGTGCTTTGCAACTAAAAATTATAGGACATAAGGAAACCTGACAGATAAGAGCTATCCTCAATCTCCAATTCAAAATATTCTTTTTCAAAGTAAGTATATCTGATAGATGATTCATGTGGTTTATTTTCTCTTACCTAGAAGTTCTAAATAAAAAATTCCAAGAATCCCACAGTTAAACTAAGAGAAAATGAGTTTAAAAATCTATTTTTATAACTTGAAAGCATTAGATTCAAAAGAAAATAATTTATTTTCAATTAAATGAATAGTGACAGTTCTCAGTTGACTAACAGAACTCAATAAATACATATTAAATTAAGACATATTACAGTGCTCATTGACATTCATCAACCAATAACTGAGAAAAATTGTGAAGAACACTCAATCTGAATCAGCCTTAGGCTACATAAGGTACTAGTTTGACAGTCTCAATTTATTTCCTTCACAAACTATCCAAAAACATCATTCTTTTTCTTTTCTGTGAATCTATAAAAGTCAGATGAACATATTAGATTGAGCTTTGTTATTAGATGTACTGAATTTCCATGTAGTTCATTTAATAACGTTTCAGTGTTTAATATGATTCACAGCAGCGCTAATTACTCTTAGAGAAAAGTCTGTAAAGGATCTGCTTTTATAAAATACTCAGTACTGGCATAAATTTGATAAATTTGGTCCAGCAACTTAGTGAAGCAAAAAGTAATGCTTTCCTACACTTAAACCTTAATAACCAGGAACACAGTTACACAAATGGAGACACTTTCTGTGTCTTGCATATGCTATATTGAATGACATCAAGAGCATAAAGATATTTTATAAGGCAATGGGCTTATTTTGTATAATAGTCTCAATAATCATGTTCATATACATATCTATATCTATATATTTTTTAGTCAAGAGAATCCATCCCGTTAAGTGATCTAAAATCAGAAGTGTCACCCAGGATTTCAGCAGAGGACCTGATCGACTTGTGCGAGCTCACGGTGACCGGTCACTTCAAAACACCTGCCAAGAAAACCAAGTCTGGAAAGCCAAAACTCCTGGTGGTTGACATCCGGAACAGTGAAGAGTATCCTTTCTATTTGTGGTTTTAAAGAGTGAGGCCTCCTTATTAATGTTGCTTCCTTTTATTTAAATGGTCTATGTTAAGAACAAACATTTCTAGGATTCTTCTAATTCAAATAGCTAAATTAACACTGTATGTATGCCAGAATTGTCTGCTATGAGATCTCAAACATAATTGTCCGCTATTGTCACTTTTTAAAAAAGCATTAATAGCTAATTTGGCAAGTTAAGAGATACATGACCAAATGCAAGAATGTTTTTCTGAAAATTGAGATATTTTGTTGTAATTTGTTTTTCTGATATATGTTGCTATTCCTGACCGCATCTGAACTTATTGGCTATAAGTAGAAATTTAGGCAAAGATATAGAATGAGTTTATATACTTAGTCTACCTCAAGACCTAGAAAAAACTTTTTCACATCCCAGCATTGAACTTGTACTTATAATTTTCAAAATGTCAGTAAATAAGTATGTATTTTCACTCCGTATAAAGTGTTTTTTCACTATGATTTTTTTCCTGAAATTAAAAGCCGTTAGGAAATAACGGTTCTACTTTTCTCCTGTATTTTCACCGTCAGACCTTAGCAAGCATGCCTTGACTCCCTGCTCACTACAATCTATGTAAATAACTCTCATACTTTTAAACACACTTACATTTAAAATAAAATCTTAATTACAAATTCAACATACAAATGAAGAATTTTCTAACTTTAATAAGATCACATTGCTAGTTATAAATGCTATGGAGACTAGGAAGTTTGTATTTCTTATATTCTAAATGCGGCATATAAGTTCTCATGTACATATTTTCAATTCCAATTTGTTTTAAAGATTTATTTATTTATTGGAAAGTCAGATATACAGAGAGGAGGAGAGAGAGAGGAAGATGTTCCATCCGATGATTTACTCCCCAAGTGGCCGCAATGGCCTATGCTATGCTGGTCCAAAGCCAGGATCCAGGAACTTCTTCCAGGTCTCCCACACGGGTGCAAAATCCCAAGGCTTTGGGCTGTCCTCGACTGCTTTCCCAGGCCACAAGCTAGGAGCTGGATGGGAAGTGGAGCTGCCGGGATTAGAACCGGTGCCCATATGGGATCCCAGTGCGTTCAAGGCAAGGACTTTAGCCGCTAGGCCACGCCCCTGGGCCCTCAATTCCAATTTTTATGTTGAAATTTCAAAATGAAGTTTAAACCATACTCGTGCAGAGCTACTAAAACAATACAGAAAACCTGAGGTTACTGAAATTTGAGTGTTCAGTTTCAGCTGATATATCCTATCTATTTTGTAAGTTACTTTATGTTCTTTTTAACCTATAAGACCCCTGAATTTAGAGACCGTGTTTATGTGGATGTCCCTGGTCGTCAGGGCTTCAGGATGTTTGAATTTACTTAGCGGATGAATATGCAACCATTAAGAGGCATAAATTCCTGTTGGCTTACTAGTCAGGGATTCCCTGCTCTAAAAGTTCTGATTTGTTACTTGAAGGACATGAAATATGTTTGCACAAGCCAAACTAATCAATAATTAAAAGTACCTCATTCATGGAACTCCTTTGATATTTCCTTTTAAACAATTAGATCATTTGAAATGGAAAAATCTGACATTATGAAAGAAACAATTCGAGATTTTCAAAATCTTATATTCTAATTTTTTTTCATTATTGCTCTATTACATATAGGATCTAGTAGTTGCCTAGTTGTTTTTCTTTTCTGTTCCATTTTCAAATTTAACTTTTTTTAGAGGTACTTTATATCATTTGGATACAATTACCATGTGTTTAACGCTGTCTTCTGTGAGTCAGTTTCCTCTGGGAGTTTCTCTCAGACCCTTGAGCTTGCACTCAAATCTATGTTTTCCTTAAACAGTACTTCAGTTTCATTCGGGGTCATATTTCAGGGAGCATCAACATTCCCTTCAGCTCTGCCTTCACAGCGGAAGGGGAGCTTACCCAGGGCCCGCACACAGCCGTGCTCCAGAACTTCAAAGGGAAGGTCATCGTCATCGTGGGCAGTGTGGCAAAGCACACGGCTGAGGTAAGAGTCTCTGGAATGGTATTTGCTTATATGGTGAGTTACTTAGCTGCCTACTTAATACATGGAATAAAAGTACATTTCATCAGGAATCGATTACAAACCAAATGAGCCTTTGCTTTAACTCAGCCTTTTCTCCTCAGTGCTAGGCATCAGCGTCAAAGATAAGCTTAGAAAAACCCAAATGACAGCCTCAGGTTTTGGTTTGCTTTGTTTAACTATGCTGTTTGAAACTGCAAAGGACTTTGAATTCCTCAATGGAGAACAGTAATGAGGTTCAAGTGTAGGCCATGAAAGATGGATATGGTATAATTAGATTTGGAATTTTCTTGAGTCTCAAAAATTTTAATGGTAAATCCAGGAAGGAAATCAACTTTTAGAAGTGCAGAGTAACATAAGACAATAATAGAACATAGCCACGGGAGATGGAAGACTAAGCAAATTAAGAGACATGCCGATTTTGACCACTGGGGGAAGCAAAGGAAAGCAGAGGAAGTAGGCTGTCAGGAAAGTTTGCAGTGGATTTCTACAGAAATAAGGGAGATACCACAGAGTGGGGTGGACAGTACAAGCACATAGCACTGAGAGGCGGAGGAACTGGCAACTGCCTCAGCTGCAGACTGCAGGAAATAGCAGCTTCTTGCAGCAGATACATGCCTGAAGGAGCAGGACTCCATCGAGCTACTAAAGCATAGTTCAAGGACAAGCCATCAGAGGAGAAAACCAACAAGGGTTTCCACAAATGCATAGAAATATAGAATTAGAGAAATATGGACAAGAAAGGCAATATGACTTCCCAAAAGTCATATAACATCTCTTCAATATTAGAGTGCGATGAAGTCATTGATGAAATGCCTGAAAATGACTTCAACAGAATCGACATAAGATCACTCAAAAATGATGAGAGTCAGATAGATGGGTTAAAGAAATCAGTACATGACATGGATGAAAAACTTTGCCGGGAGATATACTAAACAGAAATAAAAATTATTGGAAATGAAAGATATGTCCAAAAAAAATAGAGCAGAAAGTTTTCACAATAGGCTTGGTGAGGTAGAAAAATAGCCAAGCTAACAAGACAAATCAATGAAAATATCTCAGAAAAAGAAAATATAAAAATTGAAAATAATATTTGAGGTTTATGGGATATTATCAAATGGCATAATATGTATCTTGGGAGTTCCTGAAGGTGAAAATAATGTAAGATCTATTCAGTGAAATAATAATATGTAAATCCCCTAGTTCTAAGAAAGCGAGGAACACTTAGACACAGAAAACACATAGAACTCCTAAAAGGCACAATCAGAAAATCTCAGTATGACACATTAGGGTCACACTGTCAAAAGTAAAACAAGGAAAGATTGTAGAACATTTATGACAGAAATGCTGACTTGCTATCACATTGACAGTTGGTTTCTCATTGGAAGCTGTAGGCTAGGAGAAAGTGAAGACAGACTCTAGTAGAGAAAACTGTCAACCCAGAACACTGAAGCCGGGAAAGCTCTCATTTGTAAATGAAAGTGAAATAAATACCTTCCAGAACAAACAAGTGGAAAAATGTATCATCACCTCTCCACCCATACAATCAATGCTTAAGGAGATACTACACACAGAAAAAGAGGAAGAGAGTCATCATTAAGAAAATACAGACAGAACATCTCCTAGTAAAAGTCCAAAGCAAAAAAATAGGAATATTTATGGAAAATGTAAGGCCAATTCATTGCTTATCAATAATAATGTCCACTGTAAAATATCTAAATTCTCTCCTAAAAAGATACAGACTGGCTGAACGGATTTTTTAAAAAGACTCATTTATTTGCTACATACAAGAAACATCTCTCTCCAAAAAAAGGATATTCTGGGACCTGATTATTTTTAACAGCCTTTGTATACCTGAAGAATAGTGGGATTTCAATTTGTTTGTTTATTTTTTCTGGCTGTTATTATCTATTTTCTTTGTTCCATTTGTTGATATCACCACCTAATGGAGTATTAAATGTATGGGGAAGTTATATGCAAAGAGAAATTGGATATGGATCAAATAATCTAACTGCCTATCAATGACCTATGAAAACAACCAATCAAATCTAAAATTAGGACAGATATGATATTATAGGAAAAATAAACAAAATTGATACAATTGATACAAAAGATCAGTGGAATGAAATTCTGATTTTTGAAAAAAGATCGATACACCATTTGCATTTGTAAACAAACAATGGAGAACTTGATAGTGTCAAAGATAATTAAGTAGAAGTTACAGTGAACACATAGAAACAAGAATCATAAGGCGGTATTGCAAAAACAGCTATGTGCCAATGTTTTAAAAAAATAAATAAATCCAGAAGAAACCAGAAATTTTCCAGACACATATAATCTGCCTATTTTGACTCATGAAGACTAGAAAACCGAAATAGTTTTCGAAATAGAAGAATAGAAAACCCATAATTAAGATAGAGATTGAATCAGTAATAAAGAGCCTCTGAACAAAGAAAACCCAAGGCCTGGATGGATTCTCTGATGATTTCTTCCGAATCTTTAAGCCATTACTAATCTCCAGTTCTCAAACCATCCAAAACAAGTACGGAAGGGAAACCTCCCAAACTCCTTCTCTCAGTCTAGCGTCACCTCAATTCCAAAACCAGAAAAAATAACACAAGAGAACTATAGACCAATATCCCTGGTGAACATAGATGCAAAAGTACTCAACAAAATACTAGCTAATCAAATCCAAAAAAACATCCAAAGATCATTCACCCAGACCAAGTGGGATTTGTCCCTTGTATGCAGGGATTGCTCAATATATGTAAATCCATAACTGTGAGAAATATTGCAATATGAAACTGAAGGATAAAAACTATGAATATGGGTCCAGCACAGTAGCCTAGTGGCTAAAGTCCTCACCTTGCACATGCCAGGATCCCGTAACGGTGCTGGTTCTAATCCTAGCAGCCATGCTTCCCATCCAGCTCCCTGCTTGTGGCCTGGGAAATCAGTCAAGGACAACACAAAGTTTTGGGACCCTGCAGCAACGTTGGAAACCTGGGAAGAAGTTCCTGGCTCCTGGCTTCAGATCGGCTCAGCTCTGGCCAGTGTGTCCACTTGGGGAGTGAGCCAGCGGATGGAAGATCTTCTCTGTCTCTCCTCCTCTCTTAAAATATGAACACCTCAACAAATTCCAAAAAAGCATTTGATGAAATATGCTTTCATAAAAAAAAATAATCAAGCAATTTGGATATAGAAGGAACATTTCTCAGTAGAATCAAGGTAATATATGACAAATGTGCAGCCAGAATCATATTGAATAAGGAAAAATTGGAAGAATTTCCACTAATATCTGGAACCAGATAAAGACTTCCAGTTTCATTATTGCTATTCCATATATTTATACAATTTTAACCAGAGCCAATAGGTCAAAAAATAAGTTAGTAACAAAAGAGAAAATTTGGATCAAATTATCTCTGTTTGCAGATGACATGATTCTATATTTTGGAGAGTGAACAAACTCCATTAAAGGACTACCGAAACACGTAAGAGAGCTTGATAAAATTGCCAGATATAAAATCAACACATACACACACAGCTCCATGTCTAAGAAATCTAATACCTTGAGTTATATTAACCAAGGAACAAAGAATTTCTACAGTGAAACTTATAAGACATTAAAGAAATAGAAGGCACAAAAATGGAAAAATATTCCATACCCATGGATTGGCAAATAAACAAACAGAATGCCCATCCATCCAAAAGCAATTTCAAGGATTCAACATGATCCCAATCAGAATAGCAAAGATATTCTTCTCAGATCTAGGGGAAAAAAAGATGCTAAAATTCACATGGAAACACAAGAAACCCCAAATGGCTAAAGACATATTAAACAACAAAAACAAAGCCAGGAGCATCACAATACCAGATTGCCAGACATATTACAGCGTAGTTGTAATCAAAACAGCCTGGTGATGGCTCAAAAATAGACATGTAGACATATGGAACAGAATAGAAATTCCAAAAAGTAAACCACCCATCTACGCAAGTAACTAATCTTTGACAAATGAGCTCAAGTCAATCCCTGGACCAAGGACAGTCTGTTCAACAAATGGTGCTGGGTAATTGGTTCTGCATGCACAGAAGTAAGAACAAGACCCTTACCGTGCACCTTAAACAAAACTCTAAATATATCAAGGATCTAACTGTTACCTGATACTATCAAATTACTGGAGAAAACTCAGAAGATACTGTTATAAGGAAAGACTTTTTGGAAAAGACCTTAATACAGGTAGTAAACATGGAGTTAAACAAATGGGATTACATCAAACTAAGAAACTGCTACACTGCAAAGGAAATTTTGAGCAAAGTGAAGAGGCAACTTACTGAATAGGATAAAATATTTGCCATCTATGCCACCGATAAAGAATTAATATTCAGGATTTATAAAGACCTTAAGAAACTCAGCAACAGCAAAACAATCCAGTTAAGAAATGGCAAAGGACATGAAAAGGCATTTTCAAATGATCAAACTCAGATGGCCAACAGACATATGAAAAATTGGTTAGGATGAACAGCTTTCAGGGACAGTTAAAACCACAATGAGGTTTCACCTCACCGCAGTTAGAATAGTTATCACCCCAAAAAAATTTTTTTAAAGTACTGGAAAGGATGTATGGGATGAGGTACCCTAAAATACTGTTAGTAGGAATGTAAACTAGGACAACCATTGTGGAGGACAGTGTGGAGATTCCCAAGAGATCTGGAAATAGATTACCATTGTGACCCATCCATCTCACTGCTGGCAGTGTTTCCAAATGGAATGGAATCTCCGGCACAGTCAGCCTCTTGTTCCAAAAACTGAAATTCAACCATATTGAAAGTTTGAGGCAGCACTTTGGAGGGGCCAGGCCAAGCATGCTCCAGGCCAGCAGCGGAGGAGACAGTTAAGACAGCTAGGCCAAGCAGGTAATAATGCTGATGGCTGAAGTAACAAAACATGGCAGCACTGTCTAAGA